CGAAGGGGGAGGTTGTCTTTCCCCCCCCCCCCCCCCAGAATGTCGCAGTCTCAAGGAGAGGCAACGGTGTGGGCAGATTCGCGTGAGAATTCTCTCACTTTGATGTTTCTGATTGTCTCAAGTTTGGCTTAATCTCATAATTTTAATGTGACTTAATCTTAATTTTACTTGGCTTAAGATACTTTTTGCATTCTACAGGTTTTTATTACTATTAGATCTTGCCGTCTAATTTACGTGAATTTCATCCTGATATCAGTTTGGCGAACCGCTTCGAAGGGCAATTTTTCTTCGTGATTGGTGCCGTGGGCAGTTCGTTTCTGGGAATTCGACGCAGTCGCAACTGACCTTGGCCGTTGTAAGTGAATTTTTTTCCTTGAGTATTTCTGACTTAGCAGTTGAAAGCGTACGATCCCTTCCCAAGACAGGCAATTCTGGATCCAGTGCAAAAAATGTGAAACCCAAGAGTTTCAAAAGGTTCCTCATCTGGAATATCGGATCTGAGTCTTGCCCGAGATTAACTCGCGGACCTCACGAGGGATACTAGCAGAGGACTTGGAAACGCCAGACAGCCGTTCCAAGGACCCGCGAAACACTCGCGCGAAACTTCAAGAAAATCACAACCCAATTCCCCACACACGGGAATTTTCTCAAGCTTCAAGGTAAAGCGAATCTCCCGAGGCCCCCAGACATAACCGATCCAAACCTCCACACCGAGAAAGGAATCTCCTCCGGCATGCCGTCGGCCGTGCAAGCAACTGCCACCGCGACGGTGACAGCACCTGTGACCGCTTCGATTCCCATCAAGCTTTCCAGGTCGCCTCATCGGAAAAGCACACCTCAAACGCGCTGCCTGTAAATTCCCTCGATGGCAATAAATAATGGTAAAGACTTAATTCATCAACAAATAACATTGACGCCGTCACATAGAACAAATGATTAATCGCCATAATTTATTTTAAGTTATTTAGTTAACTTGCATTTCCAAATTCTAATGAGCATCTCCAAATAATTTCACCACCAGACTTAACGAATCTAGCACCTAAATCTCCATCTGTATTTTCACCCGATATTCTTGAAATATTACTCTTTGGAATCTGCAAATACAAAGTGAGAAATGCAAGTTTTGCCCGAAATAAGCAGGCGCGATATGAAACGAAACGATCTTCGCGCTTCGCTTCAGTTTTCTTGTCTGACCCAGGCAAAAATCCTGCTATTTCCTTCATTCTATTGCAAGAAGCGTTGAGTTTTTCTATTCAATTTTCAAAGGCAATGAAGAAAAGGAAACTCATCAAAATCGGAGTTACTAGGCGAAAAGCCAATGGATTAGAGAGCATGCAAATTAATTTCCGTAAATAGTTTCAATAAACCGTTTCACAATTACCTCGAAGATCTGACTCAAATCAGGATAAAAAACGCCAACCAGCAAAAAATTAATTAAACATCCTTCATTTAGTTCTTGAAAATGATAATGGCCTTGGCTTCCGGTAATTTCCTCTAGTGGCTAATTCGCCCTTACGGAAATTTCCTATAGGAAACCTAAAGACTTTCCTATAGGTTTTTGAAACACGAAAAACCCAATAGGAAGCCTATATGATCCCTATAGGGTCATATAGGACTCCTGACCTATAGGATTCGGGGAGGATTTTTTGGGTTTCGAATCCCTGGCACTACGACGGGATTGGCAACCGGGGGTCCATATCGGCACAGCATTTTGGTGTTAATTACCGATTAGGGATTTTCCCATGGTAGGGGTACTTGCATTACTAATACTAGTACTGCCCAGGCCCACATATGTCGCTGGATTGCGCAAGATGCGTCCACTTCCTTCGGTAGAGAGAAGTATCATTCTTCTCTCGACCTAAGGAAACGGCAGACAGAACACGTTTCTTTACTGAAACTCCTTCCGGATGAAGTCTACTTTTCTCGTACGTGGTTTTCATAGGGAATATGAGCATATTTCTGGCATGGACTGCATGATTCTATCTGGAAGATGGGGATGACAAATAAGAAAGTGCCCAAGTTTATTGATTGCTACTATGAGGCAAGGAAAGACGTACGGAGATTTATAAAACTCTCTTGTTAACTTTGAGAAATGCAAGAACCTCATACCTCCATCTAGTGGCATAGAGGAGAACTTCAAACGGAACCCTATAAGCCTATAGGGTTCCGTATAGGCCCTATAGGGAAACCTATAGGTTCTACAGCAGGGGTCGGGAACCCTTTTTGGCCATGTGAGCCGTATTAAGATTGAGCTAAGTGCTCGTGAGCCAAAGATTCTCAAAATAACACAATTTTTCCTGAAATTGGAAACAGACACGTGCATTCTTTGATGCATGAGAAAAATGAGGAACAACCATGATTTTTAGCCATAAGTCATGAGCCAAACTCTCGGCTCATGAGCCATAGGTTCCGATCCCTGTTCTATAGGGAACCATATAGGTCCCAAACAGTACCCTATGGGGCATATAGGGTTCCCTATAGGCCCTATAGGAACCTCTAGGATTCCTATATGTTCCTATAGTATAAGGCAATTCCGTAAGGGATCACGCCAAAAAAATTTTCGTCCATGTGATTCCTCCCATGAATTCAATGCTGTTGTTTTTTCCTATCAGTTCCAACGTGAGCCTGATCAGAAGTCCTCTCGCCGCCGGTCGAGAAATATCGAATTGTCGACTGCGGACTGTCCCTCTGTTTCCAGTTGAGAAAAGGAAATGGCGAAGTCTCTGTCTGCCCTGGAAACGAGGACTCATCTGCAACTAGAAGCCGATCGCGTGACAAACGCGTCGCTGGAGAGCACGAGGCGGTCGGCGGCGATGTGCGAGGAGAGCTTGGGCGCGGGGGCCAAGACACAGGTCGCGCTACATCGGCAGGGGGACCAACTTAACGAAGTCGGACACTCGATGATGCAGATCGACATGGGTGTGAGGGAGGCGAGTGGGAACCTGGATGAGATGCGGCGGTGCTGCTGCCTCTGCACGCTGCCGTGCTGGAAGGCGTCGCAGTTCGAAGAGGCCGGTGTGTGGAAGAGCGGCGGGAACGGGAATGTGGTCGGGCGACAGCCGAAGAGGCTCCCGCCACCCCAAGTCACCTCCGGCTACATCCCCAGGCTGACGGACGACGCAAGGGAGGACGAGATGGAGGCAAACGTGCAACGGATCTCCCAGATAATCGGGAATATGCGCGCCATGGCCCTCGACATCGGCTACGAGGTCGAGACCCAGGAAGTACAGATGACCAAAATCGCCGGCATTGCTGAGTCCAATGAAATTCAACTGAAGCATGTCAATCAACTGGCAAGCAAAATCATGAAATTGTAGTAGAGATTTCTTCCCTCAATACCTCCTGGAAGCGAAGCTCCTCCGACAGTGCACATTGAGTCAAATAACGACTAGGTCGCGGGTTTGCATGCATTAATAAACGGAATGAATGTGTGGTGCTGAGTCGCAACGTAACGTTCGGAAGTGAGATTTCTCCCAATCCACGAGAAAGAAGGAATCTCTTGACTTGATCCCAAGACGCTCTACCCCATCGCATGACTTTCCAAACATCGATTTCTTCCTAATCGACGCCGACCGATTCGCGTGTATCGATGGAGACCGGCAGCGACCAAGTTCTCGACTTCCGAGCTGATGGCTCCCCGAGGATAGAGGACGACTCCCCCACGGAAGGATCTCTCTTTATTTCACGTTCTTCCTGCCGTCCAACTCCTCCAGGCATGCCATGGGTCCATCAGACCGCAGTTGATGTCGACCCGTGTAGTCGAGCGAGAATGTCATACCGTCGGCATATATATTCACATTTATTCATTCTTGTTTTCTGCCAGGGAGGGAATCAGCATCATTCCCAACTGATGCTGCCAAAAATCCCTTCCGAAATAACCTACATCCTAACAATATCGTAGCACTAAATAATTCGTTCTTCTCTCGCACACCCATGGAAGCTGGACCTTCACGGCGAAATTTCTTAGTCCATGTCCTTCATTCTTTTCGCTTCACACCTCCGAAAATTTCCCAACTTTTCTCGTTGAACCTTCTGGGATGCACTCAAGGCAGCGCATCCCCCCCCCCCCCTCCTCTCACGTTGACATGCCTTCTTGATCTTAACTTGCTTACGTCTCTACTATGAGTGAATTCATGGATTTCATTCATGTCACAATTTAATTTTTTTTAAACCAGCAATTGGAAAATAAATATTTCTTGACCTCTTTAAATCACTCTCTTCACGCTTAGAACTTATTCATTATGGAAGCATCGGCAAGAAAAATGATGGAGGAATCAATCCCATTTTCAGGACTCCCTGTTGAAGCTGGAACGAGGCAAATCGCAACCCACAACTCACAGCTCACAACCCACAACTCACAGCTCACAACCCACAACTCACACCTCACAACCCACAACTCACAGCTAACAACCCACAACTCACAGCTCACAACCCACAACTCACAGCTCACAACCCACAACTCACAGCTCACAACCCACAACTCACAGCTCACAACCCACAACTCACAGCTCACAACCCACAACTCACAGCTCACAACCCACAACTCACAGCTCACAACCCACAACTCACAGCTCACAACCCACAACTCACAGCTCACAACCCACAACTCATAGCTCACCATCCCTGCACGGAGTAGCCGACGCTGCAATGCTTTGTCCATCATCCGAGAGCACCTCGTCCTTCGTCCCTGTTCAAGGCTTTCGTGCCTTTTGTGCCTTGTGCCATGATACTCGCAAAGAGGCACGTGCCTTGTTCCGGCGAAAAGGCATTCAAAGTTCGACGGTCAGTTCTCATGCGGTTTTGGTCCCGATCACGCGCAACGTGCGAGGCGCTGAGAAATCGAGTTTGCCTGTGAAAACAATTTTTTTTTTCGGTCACGGATAACTTCGTTATAGCCGAGTAATTCGGCATTCGAGCACATGGGGAAACTTCGGAGTTCGTCTCCATCCCGGAAAAACCTCTTCCGGCTCTTCCGGCTCTCCCGGCCGATTCCGTCCATAGGCAAGATCTCAATCATGGCAACAGAAAATGATGGTAAAAGTGCAGAATGAATTTAAACAATTTTTTTTCCTGCTGCATTTCTAATGAACTCGATGGATTTTTCGCGATTTTCGGAGTTACGTATCGTCAAATTACAACAGGCGCTGACATCCCTGAGACATCCCTGAGACANGGGGAGGGGGGGGGAGGGGAGGCTCAAGTGTCGGGCGAGGGAAGTCCCGGAAATAGTCCTGGACACAAAGGAAGGGTGACATTGCGTTTACTCATCAAATACTCTTCGCACGTTCTCTCTTCGTTATGGACATCGTGGGGGGTTCGATCCAATTTCTGCGCGGTTCTCCGAGTGGCATGATTGCTGTGGTCCATTCCTACCCCTGTGGTCCATTCCTACTCCTGTGGTCAATTGCTACTGATGTGGTGAATTGCTACTGATTTGGTCCATTTTTACGATTGGGGAAAATGGACGGAGTCGTGTGTCTTGGACGACGTGGGCAAGGCGGGTGATTTCGGTTTCACTTTCTTAGAGGAATTTCGGGTCATTTGTGAGAGATCATCTGGAAATCCTGCGAATTTCAAGACGAGAAGGAATTGCACGTGAATCCGGAGGAATGTCTCAGGGATGTCTCAGGGATGTCTCAGGGATGTCTCAGGGATGTCTCAGGGATGTCAGCGCCTGTTGTAATTTGACGATACGTAACTCCGAAAATCGCGAAAAAGGAAAATTCCGCCTTCAGGTCTCCGCGGCTGATTAACGGAGGAATCCCATCGCGTCTTGGCACACAAGCCATCTCTTCCTCCTCGCAATCCTTCACAGCCGCAAGCCTCCGTCCCGTTCGCGAAGCGGAATGCACATTCCGGATGTGCTCATCGGGATGCACATTCCGGATGTGCCCATCGGGATGCACATTCCGGATGTGCTCATCGGGATGGACTCAATGCCGGGCTGGAAGGAAGTCTCGTTCCCCGTGCAAAACGTTACCCCCCGCCCCCTCGTATATTTCCCAGCTTCTTCATCTAATATTTAGCTGAAGCGTCTTCCGAGCACCTGAGAGAGGGAAAAAAAGAGGGGAATCCAGATTTTTTTTGTATCAAAAGCCCATGGGAAAGGAATCCTCAGGCAAGATCTCGAAAAGAGGAAAGACTGCAAGGTGGAAATTCCGGTGGGGAAAGTTCCTCCTCGGCGCCATCATGCCGCCGAGCCATCATGCCGTCGAGCCATCATGCCGCCGAGCCATCATGCCGTCGAGCCATCATGCCGTCGAGCCATCATGCCGTCGAGCCATCATGCCGTCGAGCCATCATGCCTTAGTGACCGTGAGTCGGTCTCGCCCGGTGTCAGCGGCTCGGGGACTATTTAGCACGGATCTTGTTTGTGCAAAAATGCATTCAAGATTCTGAGACTAATAGTCAGAATTACTAATAGTCTGACTAATAGTCAGAATAAAACCGCCAAGTCGTGTGCTAACATAGCTTAGAAATTAAATTTACCGAAAATTTGCCGACCATTTCAGGATGTGATTCTCTCGCGCAAGTCACATCACACCACCCAGGATGATGTGATTTGCATATGTTAACCATAGCCTCTTTGTTAGTGTTACATGTACGGTAAGAGGCGAGAATTACCCGAGCGTCAGGGCATTCTTGAAAGGAGACGTAAGTCTGGGGTAGAAGATGCCTTGTGGGTAACAAAAGGTAAATTACAGATGCAAAGTAAATAATAAATGCTGGTAAATCAAAGGTAAACGAGTGGTAACTGAGGCGACTCAAAAGGTAAACGAGAGGTAACCGAGGTGAATCAAGAGGTAAGCAAGCGGTGACCGAGGCGAATCAAAAGGTAAGCGAGCTATAACTGAGGTGAATCAAAAGGTAAGCTAGCTATAACTGAGGTGAATCAAAAGGTAAGCGAGCGATAACTGAGGCGAATCAAAAGGTAAGCGAACGGTAACTGAGATGAATCAAAAGGCCCCAAATTGGTTATGGACAGCGGTGAGCGGGCAGAAAAGGAAAATGAAGAACGATGTGAGGATAAGAAATATGCAGAAAGGTCGGGATGGGCGGAACGAAACCTAATTAGAAACCTAATTAGTTATGACCTTTCTCCTGGGCAAATGCCCTTCGTGACGTCACTCGAGTCATTCGGACCCAGAGAGAATGTCCTGAAATGCTTCATTTTACAATGAGATGAGAATTGCCAGGAAATGTCTCAGCGACATCTCATCCATGTCTCAGCCATTTCTCGGCACTGACAGCTTGTTGCTCTATCGTGCATGGATCGAAACGGCAACTTCTCAATGGAATTTTCGCTTTGTTAGAGAGCCCGAAATTCCATGGAAAATAGACTGTGTGTGGTTGGAAATGATGGAAAACGGATTGTCAATTATTGATGTCAATTAAACGGGTGTTTAATGTGGAAACTGTCAGCGGCTTTAAGTTACGGACAAGTCGCCTCTGTCAGGAGCAGGAAAACTATGAAAGCATAGTTTGTTAAGCAAAGTGTGTTAAGCATAGTTTGTTAAGCATAGTTTGTTAAGCAAAGTGTGTTAAGCATAGTTTCTAGCTTTGCTGAAGAAGATCTGAGACATCGCCCGGAAACGCAAGCCAGAAAATGAGACAATATTTCTCGGTCTATTCCTCATTCATGGCAATTCCTGCAGAGGATAATCGCTCACGCGTGATTGGTGCCATGACAAGCGAATCATTAGTTGTACCCCTCGAGAGGTAATGAAGGACCGAACGGCATTAAGCCCTTTCGCGCTTCTATGTAACCTCTGCCTTCTCCATAATTAACCTCTGGGAACAGTGTTTTCTCGCTGCAGTTAGTGGGAACTCAAGTTTCAAAAATTTATCGTTGTTGGTGTCGAATTGGTGGGAGCGGCATCCCGTTTCATTCGCATTCCCATCGGAATTTTCACGTTAAAAATTTCTCCCATCACGACATACCAATTGCGAACTCGCGACATGACCGTTAACTGTCACAACTGTTGGAGGAGCCTCGATTCAGCGGGGAATCGAGTAATAAAGTCTCTATTGCGATTTCAGGATCTTGCCGGTCTGATGAGTTACATCCTTAATGCAACATTGATTGGACGTGGCCATGTCGGCGATGACGGCCACCTGCGCTTTCTGGGCCTCGACCTCGTAGCCTATGTCGATGGCCATGGCGCGCATATTCCCGATGATCTGAGAGATCCGTTGCACATTTGCCTCCATCTCGTCCTCCCTTGGGTCGTCCGTAAGCCTGGGGATGTAGCCGGAGGCGACTTCGGGTGGCGGGAGCCTCTTTGGCTGTCGCCCGACCACCTTCCCGTTCCCGCCCCTACTCCACACCGCGACCTCCTCGAACCGCGATGCCTCCCGACACGGCAGTGTGCAGAGGCAGCAGCACCGCCGCATCTTAGCCAGGTTCCCGCTCGCCTCCCTCACCTCCACGCGGATCTGCATCATCGATTGTTCCACTTCGTCCAGTTGGTCCGCCTGCCTTTGCAGCGCGACCTGTGTCTTGGCCCCCGCGTCCCAGCTCTCCTCGCACATCGCCACTGACCGCCTCGTGCTCTCCAGCGACTCACTGATCACCCGATCGGCCAGCAGTTGCAGATGCGTCTTCGGTTCCCCGTCAGATGGAGCCATTGCCAGTTCCTTTTCTCAACTGAAGTCTGTCCTTTCTCGTCGCAAGCCACAAATCGATATTTCCGACACGATTCTTACTCTTTTCTCGAATTCCTCCAGAAGGATAGGCACTCAGCAGACGTCCGTTTTGATCCCGTTGAATCTGGCAGCAAATAGAATGTACCATTGAATAATGGGAGGAATCGCGTGGAGGAACAAATACATGAGTGAAGTGGAAATACGTGAGTGGAATTGACCATGTACTAGGAGGCAGCCCATACAAACAGACCTACAAAGACATTCAAACAGAAGACGAGAATCTCGTGACCCGAGGAACGGAATGACATCTGAATGGAGTGCTTAAGAGCACTCTGTCACTCTCTGTCATAAATGAGGGCTTTGGAGGAATGCCTCTCAGCAAGTGGCATGTTCCGTAACTCGAATGTATGAGTTATTGGTTATCATCGAGGGATTTCATAGGCAGTGCGTTCGAGGAATGCTTTTCCGATGAAGGGGCCTAGAAAGCCTGATGGGAATCGAAGTCGTCACAAGTGCTGTCACCATCTCCGCTGCCGTTCCTCGCACGGTCGGCCTCACGCAGAGGGGATTCCTCTCTCTGCTTTCAAGGTTCGTATTGATTGCATCTCGGGCGTGGGTGTCCAATAGTCATTTTCTATTCTTTGAATCTTACGGATTTTCCTGTGTGTGGAATTGCAATCTGATTGTCTTGACTTCGCGTGTGCTTCGCGGATCCCTCGAACGGCTGTGACGCGTATCCAAGTGGTTCTCCCTCTCCTCAAATTTCAGATTCGAAATCTGAAATTTGTTTAAATTTAAAAATTGTTTAACCAAGGTTAAACTCATGGTTTTCACATACTTTGCCATGGATTTAAAATTGCCGGTCTTGGCAAAGGATCGTACGCATTCAACCGCGCAGCAAAAAATACTCTTAAAAAATCCACTTACCTCGGCCAAGCTCCAGCTGCGACGGTGTGGAATTGCCAGGAAGGAACTGCTCACAGCACCAATCACGGAGGGTAATTGTCCTTCAAAGCGGCTCGTCAAACTTGCCTTACGGCAAGTTTCACGTTATGAGACGAGAAGATCTAATAATATTAAGAAGCTGCCCAGTACAAAGAGCATCTTAAGTCAGATTAAGAAGATTAAGTCGGATTTAAAATAATGAGAATCAGCCAATCTAGTGCCTGTCAGCCCAGACCGCTGCCTCTCATCGTCCCAGCACCAGCTGGTGCCAACAGGCGGAATGGGAAAGGCGCTGGAGACACTCCGCCTTCGAGCATTGATGCCCGAATGGCCAATTTCGCCCACGCTCCTAACCTAGCAACGGGGAATTCCCGCCTCCATCGCCGACGCGTCGATCTCGAACGATCGAGATCCGAAGGATCGCCTGCAGATCTCGAACGATCGAGATCTGCATCCGAAGGATCGCCTGCCTGAGGCACCCGGCTGAGACGATTAGAAATTAGACGAGTAAAATGTTGAGTTGTATTTAATGTCGATAGCTGCATGTTGCGGACAGGCCGCTTCTGTCAGGAAAACTAAGAAAGCACGGTTTGTTAGGCAGAGCTATGCTGAAGTATGACAGCGACATCGCCTGGAAACCCAAGTCACAAAATGGGAATATCGCCATCCTTTCCATCTCCGCGTCTATTCCTCATTCATTGCTATTCCTCATTCATTGCTATTCCTGCCGAGGTTAATCGCTCACGCGTGATTGGTGCAGAATCATTAGTTGTTGCCCTCGAGAATTACGAACGACCGACCGGCAAATGGCCCTTCCTTGCCTATTTTCACCTCTGCCTTTTCCAAAATTAATTGATTCCAGTGAATTGTTGCTGCAGTACTTGGGTATGAGTACTGAGTACTTGCAGTACTCAAATCTCAACATTATCGTTCTTGGTGTCAAATTGGTGCTAGCGGCACTCTATCTCATTCATATTCTCTTCGAATTTTTCATTAAAAACTTTAGCATCACGACGTACTCATTCCGTTTATTAATGGATGCAAACTCGCGGAAGACCGTTACCTGTCGCAATGTCGGAGGAGCCTCGATTCAGTGGGGAATCGAGTAATAAAGTCTCTAATGCGATTTCAGGATCTTGCCGGTCTGATGAGTGACGTCCTTGATGCAACCTTGGTTGGACGCGGCCATCCCGGCGATGCCGTCGACCTGCGCGCTCTGAGCGTCGACCTCTTGACCGATGTCGATGGCTATGTCACGCATATTCCCGATTAATTGAACGATTTGCTGCAAGTTCGCCTCGATCTCGTCCTCCCTTTCGTCGTCCGTCAGCCTGGAGATGTAGCCCGAGGTGACTTGGGGAGGCGGGAGACGCTGCGGTTGTCGTCCGACCACCTTCTCATCTGCGTCCTCTTTCCACTCCTGGCCGTCCTCGAACAGCGAGGCCCTCCAGCACGGCAGTGGGCAGAGGCCGCAGCACCGCCGCATCTCAGCCAGGTGCCCGCTCGCCTCCCTCACCTCCACGCGGATCTGCCGCATCGCCTGCTCCAGCCCGTCCAGCTGGTCCCCCTGCCGATGCAGAGCGATCAGGGTATTGACACCCTTGTCCCAGCTTTCAGCGCAATGCGCCGCCGACCGTCTCATACTCTCCAGAGATGCGTTGGTCATTCGATCCGCATGCAGTTGCAGAGGCGCCCTCTTTTCCCTGTCAGACAGAGCCATCATGTTGTTCTTTTTCTGAACTGGAAACAGAGGCACAGTTTGTCGTTTCTTGTCGCAATCGAAAAATTGCAGATGAGATTCCTACTTTCCTTTTCTCAAAATGTCTCCAGAAGGATAGGCACCCGACGGATGTCTATTCTGATCCCATTGAATCCGGCTGAAAAAAGAAAATACAATTGAATAATGGGAGGAATCACGTGGAGGAAAGAACAAATACTTCGGGTGAATTTCCCGCCCCACTGATTTTCTGGAAGTCAGGGGGCTTTTCAATATTCAATAACCAAGAGACGGTGGTTTGTTCGAGGTCTGCACTTACCAGCTGTTATCCTGATTTTGGTTATATTTTCGAAGTAAATGGAAAACAACTTCTTGAAACTACTTACGAGAGTATATTTTGCATATTCTCTCATAAATTGAATTTCTGCTTTAAAATTCCGACAAGTTCCATTCCGACAAGTTTAAAGTTGGAACCAAGATGGCGGCAATCACCCCTGACTGTGTGCCGAACTACTCACTACCACACATGTCACTTTTCCACACACACTCCAAAATTATTTTAAATTTTATTCCAAGTTTGCTTATACCTTTACACCTCCCTCGTATAGTAGTTCCGATCCATTTTCTCGGGCAAGTTATTTTTGCGCTTAACTCTCGCTCATCCGCACACGAAAAAGACCTCCTCCGCGTTTTGACGTAAATTTCGCATCTAATGCCACGAGCAGTGTCATACCAACGATTAACTCCAGTTTCCTCCACCGGAATTGCCCGGGGAGGAAATATATCAGAGAGATATATCTATCAGGAAATATATATATCGGCAGAAATCTGTTGTCAGTTGCAGCTGCCTGCATCAGCTCCATCTTGATGAGTTTCATGCAACAGCTACGAACGAGTCGTTTTTCGGCGAGACCCTGAGGAGAATGTACTGGACATTGCTGGCCAGTACTTTCAGGGATTAATGGCAGGGGTCAAAATTAATCCACGTCCATTCGTGAGTGGAATCGATCGTGTTCTCAATGACGGCCCATTCTCGATATGAACCGACTGACAAGAATATCGATATTTCACGATCCGAGGAATGGAATGACATCTAAATGGAATGACATCTGAATGGAGAGCTTAAGAGCATTCTATCACATGATTTTATCTTCTAAATGAGGGCTTTGGGGGAATGCCTCTCGCCAAGTGGCATTTCCGAACCAGACGTAACTTGAATGTATGAGTTATTGATTATCATCGAGGGATTTCATAGGCAGTGCGTTCGAGGAATGGTTTTCCGATGAAGGGGCCTAAAAAGCGTGATGGGAATCGAAGTCGTCACAAGTTCTGTCACCATCTCCGCTGCCGTTCCTCGCACGGTCGGCCTCACGCAGAGGGGATTCCATTCTTGGGTTTCTATGAGGTAGTTTGTTTCGATTGCGTCTCGGACTTGAGTGTCTTCGTTTTTCGCTTTTCCTTGGATCTTGAGAAATTTATTGTGTGCGTGGAATTGAGTTATGATTTTCTTGTGTTCGCATTTTCTTTGCAGGTCCCTCGAACTGCTATGACGCGTATGCAAGTGGTTCCCCCAGTCCCCTGCTTGTGTATCACGTTTTCTCCGTGAGTAAATCACACGCAAGACTACGATCCGAAATTTGAGATGAAGACCCTTTGAAACTATTGTTTAACTCAGGGTCTTCACATATTTTGCAATGGATCTACAGTAGCCTGTCTGGGCAAGGGATCTGCTAAGCCAAATATGTTCGAAAAAATCCACTCACACCGGCCAAGCTCCTGCCGCGACTGCGGCGATTTGCCAGGAAGAAACTGCTCACAGCAGATATCACGGAGATGATTTCCCCCTCAAAGCGGCTCGTCAAACTTGTCTGGAGGTAAGCGTCGCGTTAATCAGACGATCTCATAATAAGAAACTGCACAATTGAAAGAGCATCTTGAGCCCACCTGAATTAAAAGTCAGATTAAAATAATGATATTAAGCTAATATTAGACCAGCCAGGAACATAAAAATGAGAGGCACCTCACCCTATCCCCTTTCCTCCCAGAGTGCTGCACCTCCTCGTGACTGCAACAGCTTGAGCGACCGGGTGAAATGGAGAAGGCGCGGGAGGCTCTCCGCCTCCGAGTATCGATGCGGGGAAGGGCCGATTTCGCCCACGATTCTTTAGTCGCCTAGCAACGGGGAATCCCGGTACGCTCGCCGACGCGATCTCGTATCCGAAGGATCGAGATCGCATCCGGAGGATCGAGATCGCATCCGAGGGATCGATCTCGTATCCGAGGGATCGAGATCGCATCCGAGGGATCGAGATCGCATCCGAGGGATCGAGATCGCATCCGAGGGATCGAGATCGCATCCGAGGGATTGAGATCGCATCCGAGGGATCGCCTGCCTACTAGACAAATAGAAGTGTAGATGGAAATAATGGAAAACGGATGAGTGTCAACGAAACTGTTATCAAATGTCGATACTGTCGATCGCTACATGTTTTTCGGACAAGCCACCTCTGTCAAGAGTAGAAAAACAAACATATTCTTCAGGCAATTTCTTTTAGCTATGCTGAAGTGGGACTGCGACATCGCCTGGATACCCAAGTCACAGAATGAGACTACCCTTACGAAAATGCCTTATAGGATTCCTATATATTCCTTTAGGAATATATAGGATTCCTATACATTGTTCCTATAGGAATCCTATAGGAACATATAGGAATCCTTTAGGTTCCTATAGGGCCTAGTGGAAACCCTTTAGGCCCCGTAGGGTTCCCTAAAGAACCTATAGGGTTTTCCATAGGGCCTATAGGATTCCCTAAATAGCTTATAGGGTTCCCAATAGGACCAATAGGTCTCCCTTTAGAACCTATAGGGTTCCGTTTGAAGTTCCCCTCTAGGCCACTAGATGGAGATATTGGGTTCTCGCATTTCTCAAAGCACACAAAAGTGCCCTCCCCTTACCCATGGAATCATCTCTCACAAGAGAGTTTTGTTCATCCCCAAATGAATGCCTTGCCTCATTGTAACAATTAATAAACTTCGACACTTCCTTATTTGTCATCCCTATTCTCCAGATAGAATCATGGAGTCCAACCCAGAAATATGCCCATATTCCCTCTGAAAACCACGTACGAGAGGAATGATGCATCTCTCTCTACCGAAGGAGTGATAGCGCAAACCAGCCACATATGTGGGCCTGGGCAATAAATTATGCAGATCTTGGCAGTACTAGTATCAGAAATGCAAATGCCTCTGCCATGGGAAAACCCCTAATCGGTAATTGATTTACACAAAATAGTTGGGCCAATATTGACCTGGTGCCCATTCCCGTTGTAATGCCTGCGTTTCGAAACCCAAAAAATCCTCCCCGAAATCCTATAGCTCAGGAGTCCTATACGACCCTATAGGGATCCTATAGGTTTCCTATAGGACATTTCCGTAAGGGTATCGACATCGTATCCATCTTCGGTCTGTCTCTCATTCAATATCTTGCAGAAGTTAATTGCTCATACTTGATTGGCGTTATGATTAGCGAATCCATAGCTATTGCCGCTCGTACATAGTTGTAACTCCCCAGACTCTTTCCAGCACGAATTTAAAATGCTGCTATGTCAGAACGCCTGCCATCGGATTAATACTCCTTCCCTCTTAAATTGAAGAAAAAAAATCAAGCTTGAAGCCGCACGATTTGCGAATGGTATTCGTAACTATGAGCTCTTCTTTTAAGTTGAGCTTATCCATAAGATGCCTTCAATACGTCACGGAAGAAAAAACATGCAAGATTGAATTCAACCACCAATATAAAAAAAAAACTGCGGGTCCTGCGCTGCGCTCTTGGCGTTCGGGTGGCATGTCTGTCAGGCGCTTCCTGGCCCTGCAGGCTCCTGCGTCCTTTCTGAGCTTTTTCCCCCCTCTTCTCTCGGCTTACGTCATGCAGTTCATGAATGATTCATTCATGAACATTTTCGTTCATGATGAATAATGAATTGCATGATTCTCTTGCAGTTAATGAACGCCCCGAGGAGATGGGCGTCGCCTGTTTCATCTATTTGATAAATTAAAATTTTCTCATAACGCTTCCACTGGCCTGGGACCGAGGTCTAGGAAGGCGGATGAAATCAGGCGAGAACAAGATTTCATTGTTATATCGGGAGTCAAACCGTTAACGAATTCGAGGCGCTGTATTCTGATGAGGCGACCAGGAAAAGGAAGGCATGCGATGGGAATCGAAGCCGTCACCGGGAGCTATTGCCGTCGACGTTGCTTGCACGGTCGCCCTCGCGCCAGCCGTGGAGGACAACGGAGGGGATTCCTTCGGAGGGGGATTCTAGCGGAGGATGCTGCTCGCAAAATTCGGCTCCAGAGGTTTCGCAGCTTCGCGGACAGTCGATATGGCCTGGGACTTGTTTCATATTCGGAGGTCTCCGGTGAATCTGAAGGTAAGAATTGCGCTCATCTCCCATGTTTAAATTCATTTCAAGCCAATTCTCCAGGATAAAAAATTTAAGGACCAGGAATTTCCAGCGATATCCACTTGCCCTTCCTGAGAAGCGAAGTCTGCACAGTCCTAGTCACGTGGAAGCAGGCTCGATCTTCTCACGGAAATTCTTCGCAGATCATTTTTCCCCTAGCGCTGGAACTGCTGAATATAGATGGCTTCCATTTTTTCCTCTTATTCATTAACATCCGAAAAATTATTCTGCTCATGCGACAAAACTTCCTCTGAAGTACCGTTATTCCCATTTTTGGGCAAAAAAATTTTTGAAATAAAATTGCCATTCGATCGACATCGACTCGTGGAATTAAAATGTTCATCTCGATGATCCAATCGGTGCACGAGGCCAAGTAAAACAACCGGAGATGGCTAGCTACAGCCCTGCCATCTGGCATTTACTCGAAGAAACAAGGTTTTCCGGGAGAGACGAGTGACGGCGAACGAATCGCCGTTCCCGAAGTTGATTTTCCGGCAGATAATTCATTTGGAACTCACTAGTCAATCTGAGTCGATCCTGGAACTCTCATAATCTCTAATCTTAATCTTAATCTCTAATTCCCTTAATCTCAAAATGTGGCAAAATAGACCGATGGGGACCCAAATTGTTCGATCGACTCACGTTCGGTCGAATTTTTTCCAGAATGATGCAAGCACGCCGAAATTGGAGCGCTCAAATTAGATTCAAAGTGGCTCAGTTTCACCCGGTGGCCCATTTTGGCCCAAAATGACCCGATCGCTCCATTTTAATTATGGTTCTCAGTCATATCATTCTAGGAACGTTAGGTTCAACTTGGGTCAATCGGACAGTTTGGGTCGCGTCAGGTCACCATGGGTCACCATGGGTCACCATGGGTCACCATGGGTCACCATGGGTCACCGTGGACTTCAAACTCAAAGCAACTGCAGAGTTCCAGAATCAACTCAAATTGGCTTGTGACTTGAAAACAAGGCTGGAAATAATCCCCCTCCTATTTCCCCGCGATTCCTGATTTTCGATAATTAATTCAGTAACTTAAAATTAATTTTCCTATTTTCCAAGCTGGCGATTTCCATATCGTCAGAGGCGGAAGACGAAATTTGCCTTCGGATGATGGGCACGGCGCTGCAGGAATTTGCGATCAATTGGGATCAATTAGTTGGGATCAATTAGTTGGCATCAATTAGTTGGGATCAATTAGTTGGCATCAATTAGTTGGGATCAATTAGTTGTGATTCAGGACGTCGCGTCCTGAATCTGGGATCAATTTCTCTATAATTTTTCTTTTCGATTGTAAAGGTTTTTTTTTAGTGTGATTTAAAGTGGAAAAGCGGTATGTCTCCTTTCACACTGTCAATAAAATACTTGTGATCAGAGCGAAAGTTATTATTTCTGTCGTTCTAGAAGCGTAAACAACATTAAGTCATCGGCCAACAAGCAGTTGATGGAGAGAGTCGGAGGAGCCCCGGTCCCGTGGGGAATCGGGCGTCTCTATTGGGACTTGAGGATCTTGCCGGTCTGATGAGTGGCGTCCTCGATGCGACCTTCGTTGGACGTGGCCATGTCGGCGATGACGGTCACCTGCGCGTTCTGAGCGTCGACCTCGTAGCCGATGTCGTTGGCCATGTCGTACATGTTCCTAACGATCCGATCGATCTTTTGCAAGTTCGCCTCCATCTCGTCCTCCCTTTCGTCGTCCGTCAGCCTGGAGATGTAGCCCGAGGCGACGGGGGGTCGCTGGAGTCGCTGCGGCTGGCGCTCGACCACCTTCCCATCTGCATCCTTCTTCCACTCCTGGCCGTCCTCGAACAGCGAGGCCCTCCAGCACGGCAGTGGGCAGAGGCCGCAGCACCGCCGCATCTCAGCCAGGTGCCCGCTCGCCGTCTGCACGTCCACGTGGATCTGTCGCATCCCCTGCTCCATCCCGTCCAGTTGGTCCGCCTGCCGATGCAGCGCGACTAGGGACGTGACCCCCGCGTCCCAGCTCTTCTCGCACATCGCCACAGATCGCCTCGTGCTCTCCAGCGACTTACTGGTCACCTGATCGGCCAGCAGTTGCAGATGGGACCTCGTTTCCCCGTCAGACAGATCCATCGCCAGTTCCTTTGCTCAACTGGAAACAGATGGACAGTCTGTCGTTTCTTGTCGTATTCAATTAATCAATTTTTCACTCAGGATTCTTACAGACAAGCAGAAGTTTACCGAGGTCGTCCTAGCAGCAGCCCGCTTGAAGATCAGTCCGAGTGCAACTGTTACCGACTTTTTGCTTTAAGAATAACTTAATGTTCCCCTTACTGTACTTCCTCGTTTATCTCTGGGGGGAAAATTCCATTGGACGCATTTTCCCCAAGCCAATGGCTTTTCTATTTTCGAGAAGCGAGGCGGAAGGATGTTGACATTTGTTATCCTGACTTGAATGAGATCTTCGAGGTGAATTTAAAATAGCTCCTTGAAGCCGCTTGCGGAAATACGATTTGTTTTCTCACATTGACTTTTGAAAACTAAAGACATGAAATGTAATGGAAGTATTTTTTTGAGTATTGCCTGCAAAAATTAAATGAAGAACTCACGCACACGGAATTGGAAAGCAGACAGTTACGAAGGACGACTCCATTCTGACGCGGTTGATCCTGGAACCAATATGGCGCCAATCTCCTTGGATCGAGTGTCGCCAGGGTCAGGCAAGAATTTGAGTTGAAGCTACCTTTAAAGGCCAATTCCCTGCATGTTCTTCCACATGTTTATTTCATGTTTAACTAATGTTATTGTAATGCATTTATAGCTTATCAAGATCGCAAATGCAAGATTGCAAAATGTCACGAATTTCAGAAAATTTTCTCCTTCAATTCGGCACGTTTCGCTGCGGAACCAAAATTTGCTGCAACTTAAAGTGTGGGTGTTCCTGCAAATATAATTGAAGTAGCCTTCAGGATGTCACGGGCAGATAGGAGTACATACACGCATGCATGCATGCGTGCACGTGCAAACGCCCACTCATACGCACACGAAGAATGACTTCCTTCGCGTTTTGACGTGAATCTCGCAGCCAAAGGACGCCCCGGGCAGTGGCTACTCCACCTCAAGCTTAGTTCATGGAATTCTCAAGCGGGAAAATTAATCCTGGACGGATTTGCCTGCTTTAGTTTATTCCGTCTTGAAGAGAATTATCGACAGGCACGATGGGGACTTATTTTACATGGAGATTATGAGGAGAATCTGCGTTCGTCTTGCGAACTGAAAGAAGTTGCTGGACAGTACTAAACAGAGCTAGAAAGTACGGGGAAAGCACTTTCCGGGATATATGGCGGGTATGGACTCATCCAAAGTCCACTCTTGACTGGAATCGATCATGTACTCGAAGACGGCCCATTCTCGATACAAACAGTCGGACAAGAACATGCATATTTCATGATCTGAGGAATGGGATGACATCTGAATGGAGTGCTTAAGAGCACTGTCACACGATTTTATCGTCTAAATGAGGGCTTTGGAGGAATGCTTCTCTATGCATCGCATTTCCCAAACAGTCATTAATCATTTGTGTTCATTTATTATTATTATCATCGAGGGATTTCATAGGCGTTCAAGGAGTGCTTTTCCGATGAGGTGACCTGGGAAGCCCGATGGGAATCGAAGCCGTCACAGGTGCCGTCACCGTCACTGCGGCCGTTGCTTGCACGGTCGCCCTCGCGTCGGAAGGGATTCCTTTCTCGGCCTTCTATGCGGAGGTTTGGATCGGCTGGGGCATGTGTGGAAAGGCGAATACCTCCGGGAGGCATTCGCCTTTCCTCGAACCTAAAGAAATTTCCCTTGAATGTAGAATTGGGTTTATGATTTTCTCTGCGGGCTTCGCATTTTCCTTTCGCTTCGTTCCCCGTGTCCAAAGTGAATCTCAGGCAAACCTCAGATCCGAAATCCCATATGAAGACCCTTTGAAACTAGGGGACCTCACATATTTTGCACTGGTTTTGGCCAGGGATCGTACGCTTTCAGCTGCTCAGTCAAAAATACTCGAAGAAAAATTCACTTACGCCAGGAAAACTGCAGCTGCGACGACGTAGGAAGAAACTTCTCACAGCACCAATCACGGAGTTGAATTGTTCTTCAAAGCGGATCGTCAAACTAGCTTCAGGGTAAGCTTCACGTTTATCAGATGGCGAGGTCTAATAAGAAGCTGCACAATGGAAAGAGCATCTTACGCCAACCCGAATTAATGTCTAAGATTAAAGTATTAAAGTTCAAGCCCATCTTGAGCCATCCAGGAGCATAAAAATGAGCGGCTCCTCATGCGAATCCGCTTCCGCCCGGGCAACAGCTCGTGTGAACGGGGAAATGGGGAGGGACGCGGGAGGCTCTCCGCCTTTGAGCATTGATGCTGGGAATGGCCGAATTCGCCCACGCTTCTTCAGTCGCTTAGCAACGGGGAATTCCCTCGCCTCGGGCGCCGACGCGTCTGAGAGATCGCCTGTCTGCGATGACCCCTCCCCCCCCCATTGCTTTTCGTAATTCTTCGCCAAAGGAAACCGGTCGTCGTCGGAATCAAATTCTCTTCAGACTTTCTGGGATTTCCCTCTTCGCTGATAATCGGCTTGGTCGAGACACTTCACCAGGTTTGGATCACTTCTAAGGCTCTCCTTCCAAATCGTATTTTCGCGTCAGAACTGAAGAAACAGGGAAAATAAATCACCGCACAAGGCACAAATGATACGAACAAGCTTAACGATAAAAAAAATAGGAAAAGACGGGAGGAGAATATCCAAGATCGTTCCCCATTTCGCACTGCTTCCTCATCGGGATCCCCAATGGGATCCCAATGGGATCCCCAATGGGATCCCCGATGAGGAAGGGAGGCAGTAAGTTTAGTAGTCACGCCCTTCGCACTTCGCGCTTCGTGGATGATCAGCGTCGAGTCGGCCTCGCGCGGGTTCATCTCATTCCTGCTCTTTTTCCCAAGTGAGAACAAGCAGCGCCTGCTTTGCTCATTTTTTTTTTACTGGAGAAATAAAATGTCCGGCACGGCTGTAATTTTGTTTCCTCCTTTGAGATGAGGTTTGGAGCGTTTTCTGGAGATGGTTGATTTTGGCAACGTTCAGCGCGAAGAGGAATGGGATGCGCATGCGGGGAGGTGTCTCAGCGATGTCTCAGCGTTGTCTCAGCGTTGTCTCAGCGTTGTCTCAGCGGTGTCTCAGCGTTGTCTCAGCGTTGTCTCAGCGTTGTCTCAGCGTTGTCTCAGCGTTGTCTCAGCGATGTCCCAGCGTTGTCTCAGCGTTGTCTCAGCGTTGTCTCAGCGTTGTCTCAGCGTTGTCTCAGCGTTGTCTCAGCGTTGTCTCAGCGATGTTCTTTATCCCATTTTCGTCTTGTCGATTTTTTCGCCGGATAGCTTAAATTCCTTGGAAAGTGGACTGTGTAAATAGAAATTATGGTCAACGGATGATTGTCGACGAAACGGGTATTCAATGAGAGACTCTCGGTGGCCTCATACTTCGGACAAGTCGCCTTTGTCAAGAGCAAGAAAACCAAAAAATAAATAAATAAATGAGGAGCAAAAAATTAAGTAAATAAAAGAGAGAAATGAGCCTTTTTCAAAAGGCTCAAGAGGCAAAAATGATAATTAAAGAAGCAAGATTATGGAAAGCGAAAAAGTCAGAAATGGATGAAGAGAGGGTGAAAGAAGAGAGATTATTGGATTTGAAAGGAGTTAAAAGGATTAAGTCAGAGTAATCATGGAACGACAGAGTACTCGACAGAATTTGGACGGAAAATGTCAAAATTCAATAAATGAATTTGAATTCCAATTCATTAATTCTGACGAAGGCTTCCCTATCTCTCTCCTTGCCGATTGTGCCAGTACGTTATTGCTGATTATCAGCCGAATTCTAATAGCTGATCAGCGATCGAGAGTTACTTCGTACAACCGTTGCGACTGGAATTCCAACCGCAGGAAGGAGAATAAATAAAATAAAAAACGTCGCCGAATCCTTCGAGCAAAAAAAAAAACTAAATAAAAAATAAAAAGGAATGAGGAGGAAGCAAGGAATCAAAATATTTTCTTCATGCGCGCCAATTCAATTGGCAGAAAATGCAGGCATCCTAAATTTTAATGTCGATAAAACGATACGAGAATTCGGCAAATTTACTTACAGTGACTTCTCTCTGCCTGGAGAATCGCATTTGCCATTCAACCCTTAAAGTACTAGAAAGTACTTTCAGAGATGAATACCTCATCTCAAGTACATTCGCGGGTGGAATCGATGATGGGCAGCCCATTCTCGTTGCAAGGGCGCTGATGAATTTATATATATATAGATAGATAGATAGATGTTTCAAAGCCAGGAAAATTGGCACACTTGCGGAAGTGACTGGAAGGGCAATGCGTTTAAATTGCCCCCTTCCAAGCCAAACATAATGAGATGGACATTCACTGACAGAGGGGCTAGCCCTTGAACAGCCACGGCCCAGCACCCACGCGAGTACCCCGACAGGAATCTCGAAACTATTGTGAAAGGCCAGGCAGAAAAAGGGGGGTCCAGGCGGAAGAAGGCTATAAAGGAAAAGAGGAAAAGCTTTCTTTGTTTTCCTTGATAGCCTTCTTCCGCCAGGCGGAAGAAGGCTATAAAGGAAAAGCTTTCTTTCTTTTCCTTTATAGCCTTCTTCCGCCTGGACCCCCCAGCTACATTGCTCAGTGTGTTTCTTACAAGAAGTGTAGAATGACCTGCAATTCCATGGGAGCACAGAGTTATCGATGGTTTCATGACGGTTGCTGTGAATGTGTTGGCCCGTACTGTTTGAATGGGATGGCATCTGGATGGAGTGCTTAAGAGCACTCTGTCACAAATGAGGACGTCGCAAGAATGGTTCTCGAAACAGCATTTCAGAAACAACCTTGAATTAATTGTGTCCGAAATTGATTATTTTCATTGAGAGACTTCATAGGCAGCGCATTCGAGGCGTGCTTTCGCGATGAGACGACCGGAAAATTAAAAAAAAATGGGAATCGAAGCCGTCGCAGGTGCCGTCACCGTCACTGCTGCCGTTGCTTGCACGGTCGCCCTCGCGTCGAAAGGGATT